AGTTGAGCAGCGGCCCTTTCTTTGCGAGCGACGCTCGCGAACGTTTGCAGAAATGCGCCGCAGAAGACATCCCACGTTCGGAGCGCGGACTCACGATTCTCTAGCCAGGTCCTTGCGGTGTCTTCCAGGTAGAAGTACTCACGACGGAGCTTTTCTTCGTTGTCCCAGTAGTTGAGGACGGCCACACGGTCGTATGTTTCTAGCCAGGACTCCGGGTCTTCGAACGATGACCCATGGAAAATTGGTGGTTCCCTGGGTTGATGCATGACCATCGTGGGCTGGGATGCGGCGGTTGTCATTGTCGCTGCAGTCGTGGTCATGGCCTTGGTCTTCCGCGCCTTGTCTTCTAGAAGCCCGTACTCCGGTGGTAGCCCTTGCTGTCGGCGGCTTGTTCGCTGCTCCTGTTTGGCGTCGGTGTCTTCTCCGCGACGTGGGCTGGGTTCACGGCTTGACGGGGGCGTCCGGTACATGAACGAAGCAGCACCTCCACCAGATGTCACGGGTTCGTGACGTGGCCGAAGACAAGAGACTTCGTGTTGGGATTTAACTGTTTATTTGGGCGAACCTGTGCCCGGTAAACAGAAAGTCCAATCACAGCAGCAGTCTCGCACAGATAGCAGTCTCGGACTGATAGCGGCGAACGGAGTGTCGGCCTTCGATCAACAACTGACAAGCGGCGAAGCGCGTCGGCATTTATACTCTTGCCGTCGAATGTTCTAGCGTTATCGCTGGCGGCGGCGTAGGTTCCAGAACAATCTGTACCTTTCGCACAGTGGGCGTGATCTTATCCAAATGATCTCCTACAGTCCGGAACCTTCTCGAAGACTGCAGGCGCGGTTCGCGCTAAGAATGGTGTGGTGTTTTGGGACGATGACAAAAACTTGGGAAATGGAACGTGGCAATATTATTACCAATAGCAACATCGCCGTACTAGGTCCACTGCAGAGAAATTGTGTTTACAGAGAAACATATGAAAGAAGTTCACAATGAATGTAACCCTGTGGAAAGTCATCTCGTGCGTTTCTCCACTTGGTATAACGTATGAACTGTCTGCGCTTTTTTACAAATACACTGATATCGTGAGTTTACCTTTTACAAACTGACAATACACCCCGCATGCATTCCTGTCCATAACTCAATCCTTACGTGGCAAATGACTGGAAGTAGTAGGGTGTCAGAAGTGGGATCTCGGGGTCGAGCCGTTGTCTCGATGAAACCCCAACAATGGCTGCTCAATGCACCGCTACCCATGCAGTTGACCCACAATGTCTCCTTCCAAAACGAGCGCTTCACGCCAATGTTTACATTGTTCCTAGCGGCTACCACAGTAAAGGAGCAACCGCCAAGTGGAGCTGCAGAAGCAGTGCTCGTTCGGAGTGTTCCTTTTGATGAAGCACTAGACGAGCTGAGCAAGTTAAATTTTGAGGTACGAGAATGCAACCATTATTTCAATCATTAAAATGTTAAGGGGCCTATTCCTATGAGATAAGCAACTATGTGCATGAATTATATGTTTCACTCTCAGGCAGGAGGGGAGCGATTCGAAACATTTCTTTCATAATGGCATCATTCAAATATTCAGTATCAAATTGGGGGCAGCACAAATAACTCAAAGAGGCGCGGAAAAAGTTTTCGCTAAGAGTAGTTCTTGTTGGGAAAAACAGAATATTGCCTCAAGCTTGCTCACTGTGTGGAACAAGAAAACAATCGAAGTGTGGAGGGTGACAGACGGACGTTATCGCGAGGCATGCACCAACGCCGAAAGACAGAAGTGTGCAGTTTGGCCACAAGAAGTGCGCTGCACTGAGTGAAACCACCGGCCCGGACCAATGGAGCGTCTTGAATACGTAGAGCTATTCAACGTATTCTACTAGCGCGTTCATTTTTGCGGTGCGCTGTCAGGGCTGCCCAGATTTGCTGAAGTCAGCAAAGACGAGAGTCATGACAACTTTGGCATTCTGGAAGTTGACGTTGGAAACAAAAAGACAAATAAATATGACAAAATGCTGGGTCAGTTAGTGCAATAGCTCAGTTGAATAGGCATAGAATTGTTAGCCAATGGTATGTGCAACTGTAATTGCGCACAAGTCTGCATGCCCCGCCGTGATGGTCTAGTGGCTAAGGTACTCGGCTGCTGACCTGCAGGTCACGGGATCGAATCCCGGCTGTGGCGGCTGCATTTTCGATGAAGGCGGAAATGTTGTAGGCCCATGTGCTCAGACTTGGGTGCACGTTAAAGAATCCCAGGTGGTCGAAATTTCCGGAGCCCTCCACTACGGCGTCTCTAATATTCGTATGGTGGTTTCGAGACGTTAAACCCCACGTATTAATCAAACATGTCTGCATGCTTTCAAAAAACCAAGCTGTTTTTTGTTCAGATAACGTCTGTTGCAAGTTGACACTGTATTCAGTCGCCTTGATTTTTATGTCAACGTGGAATCCCTCCTTCACTTGTCGTCAGAAAAGCACAACACTTCTTATGAGAAGTTCAGGTGCCAGAGAAGAATTTCGCCTCTAAGTATAAACATTGAGTCTGAGGTCAGCTCATTACCATTTTCGCAAATTGGAAGTTATGTGCGTCGGGATTGATTACAGCTCCCAGCTCAGTGCTAGGGACACAAAACCAAAGCGTCATAACGAATTTCGGATTGACGTTCCGGTATGTCAGTGTAGGAAATACTTCTTCTACAAGTTATTTGTCACCTGGTATAGCTTTCAAGCCACACTCGGACCATATGCGAGTGAAACCTTAGACCTTTTTTTTAAAGTACCGTAGCAACTGCAAGCGCCTAAGCAAACTACAAAGCAAGTATCAATTTTCCTGGTTCTCTTCCAGGTACGAGGCTCCATGAAGCAACCATACACCTCCGTACTGGAACCAATTACAGGGCACCACGCGCTATTTCGTCTCTGGTCAACACTGGTTCCAGAAAAACTATGTCACACCAACAAGCCACTGCAGTGGCGTTGGTACGGTGTGGCCTTTAATCAAGCAATCTGATCAGTCATTCTTTATGTTACACTTAGTATATGTATCGGGCATGTACTCTCTTCGCTACCTTGTTCTGAGAGCACTGCTACCGTGCATCTCAGCTATCAGTCCGGAAAATCTGTTCATGCTTGTTAGTGCCATATTGTATTGGTTCAATTCTTACCAGACAAACATTTTGAACATTGTACACTTGACAACAATAGTTGCTGGAGTTCGACGTCCCGAAACCACCATCTATATGTTATTCATGCGATTATTAGAGACGCCGTAGTGCAGTGCTTCGGAAATTTGGATCGCGTGAGGTTCTTTGGAAGATTGCACGCTTAGACCGGTCATGCAGTTGCTGACATTTTAGGCTGAAAAACTTGTTCTTCTTCTTTGCAGACCAAAATTTTTCCTTTCAAGCTTTATAAAAGCAGTACTTAGAGGAATATATTCAACAATTGAACAACTACATAAATAACCACCTCGCAACTCTGAAGACGCATAGCAACTAGGCAACATCTGGGTGGATAACTTCGACGTTACGTCTTCGACACACGTGTTTGCCCATAGAGACACCCTAAAATCACATTTTACTTCACTCTACGTTGGGTCTAACCACATCGTCCACAAAACACTGATTGATGGTATGATAGCACTGAATAACGGTGAGCAAGGCATCACATCGGACCACCATATTAGCCAAAAGAACCCATATTTACATTCGAAACTAACCCATTGAACTGACCTCTCTTCAATTATTAACATCAAGATTACATTACCTTGAAGCCATAACCTTCAATTTTTCAACTGTAGTTAAGCTTAGCGTGTATTCAATAATTACCTGTTACCCGCCACGGTGGTCCAGACTTTATGGTAGCCGACTGCTGACTTGCAGGTCACAGGATCGAGTCCCATCTGGGGCGGCCACGCTTTCGATACAAGCTAGAATGTACAGCTACAATTGCCCGTGTACTGAAATTTTGGTGAGACAGAGACGCAAGGAGAGAAAATCAATCCAGGTAGTGATAATTTATGAAGTTCCCCTATACGGCTTTCGTTTAATCATATGGCGAACGAAAGAAGTGCCAATTTAAGGCCTTTTTTGTTAGATACACTTTTAATGAGAACTAACCACAATATTACCTAGGAAAGTATTCGAGATGTCATCAGCAGTGATTGTATTGTAAATGTAAACAAAGAAATGTAGATGAAAAGATAACTTGCCGCTGGCAAGTACCGAGCATGCGATGTTTGAATAACATGTTTCGCCATTTCAGCTACGGCGGTGGTCATGCCCCATTTCACTTATTGGGGTATATAGATATACCTAAACGTGTCAGTCAGTATCACCTGCTGCAATTACGGCAACTGTGGCCCACTTTTTTGCGCGATGGCATCACGGAGAACGTGATTATATCACGAGCGGGCAGCTCACCGTATATATAGCTGAGAGCTAGGTAGAGCATCGGACACGTTATTCGAAAGTCTCAGGTTCAGTTCATGCCAGTGGCAAGTTATCTTGTCATCCTTTGTGGTTTCTTCCCATTTACATTACGCTTACTTCAAACAGCATCCCCTATACTTTCCTTGGCATGATCTCTCAGTTATCATATTACTGTGAATAATGTCACGCTGATGTTGTGGCGTTACGTAATATTTACGTATCAATAATACGATCAAATATGACGTTCGATAAATAATATTATGGTTTTCTTTCACTGCATGATCGTGAACGACGATCGCTAACCACTTGTTAAAAAGAAACTATGACAGTATCTAATTTTCGGCAACCTGGCACGTATCATGTTTATATGAATTGGCAGCACAACTTTGACATTGTTCTTCTATTGGCCTGTTCTTTTTTCCAGTCTGCGAATAATGCGCTACCATTTCACCAAAACCTAGAAAAAGCTGTGTCAGCTCTGTGATCTCCTGCTTCAGCCCACCATACCCTCGACAACACGCTTGGCACTCAGCGAGACGCTGTACATGTAAATAGCGCTGTCTGCGACGTAGTACTCACTCCCAGTATTCCTTCACAGGGCTCCTGATTAGCTTCGGGTCAGGACAGGCGCGGAGCTGCGCTGAACAGTTGTATGGCTCGTACTCGGAGCGGCAGTTCTGGGTGTTCCACCAGTTGTCACACGATCGCCAGGGAACGTCGGATGACAAGGCCGAGTAGATGTAGTACAGAGACCACGCCAGCACCACGATGTAGTAAGAGTTGAGCCAAAAGGACATTACCGCCGCTGCGTAGCCCACACCTGCGCACAATGCCATTCAATGTCATTGCTCTTCTTTCTTGCCAAAATTGATGTGCAGTCATTTAGGGACAAAAGTGTGCTTTGAATACCTGCGCATGGCGCATGGTAGGTGAGAAGTTGATCTCGAAATTTTGTTGCAGTCACACTTCAGCCAGTGCTTTATAAAAGCTTATAAGGCAGCAACTCTCTCAGCAACGTGTTTGTCTAAGCTTTGCGCACCTTCCCTGAAGCTCTATAAAGGAGAAGAGAAAACAAGTGCACAACACAGGTGGGAGCTAGAAAAAACAAAATTATTCCGTAAAGATATATTTGCTAGCTAATTCAATGGACGAGTAAAGGAGGCAAAAAAAGCGCTGCAACTTCACCATGAAACTTCGGAAAGTGCGTAGCGCGGACACGGACATATTGCCGTTGTGCTGATGTCGCTCTGTTGCTATTGTTATTGGCGCTACTTCTGTTATTTTAACGTGGGTATTATTGTCTCGAGCGGTTTCAACGTCATCGATTGTGGAGAAATCTCTAATGACTAAAGACAGAATTCATAGCCACTAACAATTCTGTTTTAGGCTCTAAAAATAGGAAGGCAAAACACAATGTCCAGCGCCCGAAATATAAGCAGAACAAGCAGTTGCAAAAACTCATGTTTTTGGAGAATATTGTGCGTTAACACTGTGTAAAATAGGAAAGCAGAAATGAAAATGTTTTACTTTATGATGGTACAAAGGTGCCAATGGCTTAGCATAGCAAGGTACTTTTTTTGCAGCGCACTTTGCAAAATATGGTCTCGCCTTTTACAGTTCAGCACAGTGAGTCAAGTGCCCATCATCGAATGAACAAACTCCATCGTCTCTCTGTGTTTTGCATTCTTGAGAAGGGCAACACAGGATCAAATAACCATACCGCTAAAAATTCTTTTAATCTCGTAATAACCGTGTCTAATCAGAGCACAGGTTCAATTTTTTCTCTCTCTGTGAACGCATTAAAGGGCTTCTCGCCAGCTTTGAGCATTTAGAGCAGGCAAGAGGAATGCATGCACTCTCATGCTGTTTGTAACAGCTTTCGCCTAAAGGACCCCCAATAAATTGTAAAATATTGTTGGAAATAAAGACTTGATTAAATGATTAATGTGTGCTGCAGGTATCACCTGTCGAGATATGCAACGCTACTCGCCCCGAAAGAAGTGAAATGTCAGACTGAATGCCGCTTGCCCTTCATCTCATGGCCGCACGTCCAACATGGAGGAAGTGACGCGCCTCAAGGGAGGGTCCGACATACGTGAAAGTAGTACGTGACAGAGAGACAATTAATCGAGGCTGTTGCATTCAACACTCTACTGCGTTGCATCAAACGAGTTGTGGCGTGGCGACGAACACTCTGTGGCGTAGCATCAAACGCGCGGTGCGTTTTATAGTGAACATGCTCGCGTTAAAGACAGCACCGCGATTAGAATTGGTCGACTTTGTTGTGTATGTTCGCTTTTTAGGGGTGAAGCTCCTTAAAGCGGCACCCGTTCGTCCCTCATCGTAGTCGTAGTGCGTAACCAGTCTTAGGCTTTGACCTCCAGGGTGGTGCCGCTGGGAGATTTCTCCTGTGCGTTGTTGAACAATAAAAAATTCGTATCGTGCACGTTAACTAGAAGCTGAATTCTCCTGTCTCTCATTCCCATTTAGCAGCCATTGCCATGTATATTGAGCACTATCTGACAAGAAAGGGTCGCTAGGTTATACTGGCTGGTCGTAACCTCCTTGGTTTTAGAAAGGTTGAGCGAGCGTTGGACCGCAGTACCATGAATGCAGTGAACTAGTACATACCATGAACTCGAGGTTCTTAAAGGTGGAAAGTAGACACGAAGCGCAAGCCGCAGGAAAGTGTGCGTGTTCACCTATCGTTTAGTCCTTGGAATGTCCGCTGGATGGTGGTGCTCCTATATGCGGAATATATGATGAAAAGATGCGAGATGGACGTACTTAGAGTGTTGACTAGATGGGCGAACGCACAAACAGACAGATACATGGATGAAAGCTCAGATGACTGCACGGACGGATGAACGCATGGATAGACGCAGGGGCGGATGCTTGAATGAACGCATGGACGGATGCACGAACAGACGCACGCACGGACGGGCGGATGGACACTTGGACGATCATACAGATGGACGCATGGACGGACAGAAGCAAGAAGGAATAGACGGCCACATGCTTCGCCCCACTCTGGCCGACTGGCTCACCCTCCACCATCTCCTGACGCCGTGAAGCTCTCATTGAGTGGTGTTTGTCCCTGAACTCCAGCGACCGTGTCCATGTTTCCTATCTTCTCCGTATTTTTGTATATGGGTCTCTCTGTCCCTGCTTTATTCATACCTGTTTTAATCCCTCCATATCTCCTTACCTTTTGAGCCACTGCCGAGGTGTCGTACCACGATGCAGACAGTTACAGCGATCACTTTCATCTTCTTTTCTTTGTTTTAGGAATCACTTCCTTTGTGTGAGTCACTTTAAGCATAGAGCCGATGAAATAAAGGCGTTTCACGAGTGCATCTATCTCTGTCTGAGTCACAGCAGAGACGACATAAGTAATATGTGCATTCTGATGCTTGTATAGAAGCACGAAGGTTGATTAAAAAGTTACAAACGAAATTTGTGAACGTTTTTCATGTACTTATGAATCCGACCAGATGCGAGAATATAAGCTTCCTGCATTTCATTTTCGTTGGTGTTCTCGCCTGTTTATGATGCGTTGTTCCATAGAGCAGTTCCAGTGGTCCGGCGCTGTGTATCCTGGTAGGAATACATCACTCATGCCAGCCTCTCCAAAAGACCACACTACAGATAACACCGAAACTACACAGCACGCTTGATTGAACAACCTTGCTTGGGCATGTCTTGCTCATGTAACATTTTATTGATGTCTGCATCGTGTGGTGTTCCAGCTCCGACTTTATCCGATGCTGAAGATGGCAGGGAAAGATATTGGCTTGAGAAATCTACACAGAATGAGTGGCAAAGGTTTCAAGCTCATCCCATCAGATTATGCTTTCGAGGCTCGTAATGAACCAAATAACTATGTTATACGAAGCTTATTACACGTAACTACTTTTAGTATCTAACCAAAATTTTTGATGCGACGTGGTGAGGCTCTCTTTGGGAGTAAATGACAACAGAAACAGAAATCACGTGGACATCGAAGTTTTATCCACACTCACCTTTTTTATGATGACAAACTATGGTTTCGCATTCGGTCTTCATGGTCCTGCGGCTGCACACAAGTACCTCCGGCTCCCTATAGAGCTGACAGACGGTGGATGGAGGCTAAGAGGACTACGCCTTGACGATAGATGCCCGTGCAGAGGCTAATCTCTTTTTCTACAACCTTGACTGGGCTGACAAGAACTTCTGAGCTGGAGTATAGGTTGAGCCGCATAGAGTTCCGAAAGTTCAATACAGCCCGGCAGCATGAGTACCGCTTTCCAACTGTTCTCATAAGAAAATCTTGAGGTCAAATAGCGTTCATGGAGGCACCTGTTTTTAAAAAAGGCGTTCATAGGCACTTGTATCATTTAGGCAAAGACGCCAAAAACAGGCATTTATAGGTCATATGAAAACACCATAAAAGCAATTAGGAATCTCTAATTCACGCATATATCAAAGTAGCACGATATGTAGACAAAGAAAAAAATAGATATTTGCCTCAAATTCAGCCTCTATGATAGAGGATTAGATTCTGTTTTACTTTGGTTGCGTTTGCCCGTACGGGAAAAGCTGTTGGGTTATTCTGACAGTATTGACATTGCGCGGCAGCTGCCTTCTCACGCACCATGGCTAGATAAGTCTGGTGATGTATGCACCTACGCCAGCGCTTGGTTTGCATTGATTTACTCCACTCTAACGAGCCGCAATGGTAAGAGGTTTATCAAGATTCCGGGCTTCTCTTTAGTCGCTTCCACCCTGCAGTTCCTTACTAAGTATTCACTCAAAAAGGGCCGACGCTAATGTCGCTAGGCTCGTCGTGAGTGTGGAGCAGCGGCTTTTCACTGAACCTTGAGCTCGGGAGAAAAAATACCGATACGGCTCACTCGTCGTCAGACACATTTCCTTTGGTCTCCGCAGTTTACAAGCTTTTCCAGTGCTTCAATTGCTGTTACTTCTTGAAAGCGAACCCACATTCAATACATAAAGTCGAGGGGATCCGAAGACACCAATTACGTTGGACTCAAGGAGCTCTTGACTAGTGGCGGCCAAAGCAGCGGCGGCTGCAGCGGCGATGCCGACGAACGCTGACGGGCCTTAAAGTGGCCGCATATCCACGGGGTGTATGATGAAGAGTGGGGCGAAGCATCCGTCCATCCATTTGTTCTTGCTTCCGTCTATCTATGCATTCATCCGCCCGTCCGTGCGTGCGTCTATTCGTGCATCCACACGTGCATTCGTGCGTCTGTTCCTGCGTTCAACTATGCATCCGCCCCTGCGGGCGTCCATGCGCCCATCCGCCCGTGCAGCCATGCAAGCGTCCATCCATGCATTTGTCGGTGTATCCGTTCATCCATCTAGTCAACACTCCAAGTACCACCATCTCACATCTTTTCATCATATATGCATCCGTCTTCCACCCGTGCGTGCGTCTGGCCGTGCGTCCGTCTCTGCGTTAGACCATGCGTCCGCGCCGGCGTCCGTCCATGCGTCCATCCGACTTTGCAGCCATCCATGCGTCTGTCCATGCATTTGTCTGCGTATCCGTTCATCCATCTAGTCAACACTCCAAGTACCACCTTCTCGCATCTTTTCATCATATATGCGTCCTTCTGTGTGACCATCCGTGCGTTCATTCGCCCGTCCATGCGTGCGTCTGTTCGTGCCTCCACACGTGTCCATCTGGGCGTCCGTCCCGACGTTCGTCCATCCATCCGCTCTGCGTCCGTCCATGCGTCTAACCGTCCGCGCAGCCACCCATGCATCCGTCCATGCATCTGCCTGTGTGTCCGTTCGTCCATCTATTCAACGCAC